GGCCGTGTCTGTGGGGCCGTGTCCGGGGCGCGATGTCCGGGGGGCCGTGTCCGTGTCTGTGGGGCCGTGTTTCCGTGTCCGTGGGCCCGGCGCTATCGGCGGTCCCTGAGCCCGGTCCGTGTCCGTGTCCCTGTCCCTGTCCCTGTCCCTGGTCCCGGCTCTGTCCCGCTGTCCCTGAGCTCGGTCCGTGTCCGTGTGTTCCTGTCCCTGTCCCTGGTCCCGGCTCTGTCCCGTGTCCCTGAGCCCGGTCCGTGTCCGCAGGCGGCTGGGGCTGGCGCGGAGCAGCGCTCGGACAAGGAGCGGACCGCGGGCGGCCCCGGGGCAAAGCTTCGCCTTCCTCATCGTGCTGGACTTCGAGGCCACTTGCTGGCGAGAGCCGGGGCGGCGCGGGCCCGAGATCAGTGAGTGCACCGGCAGAGCTGCCTTGGGACCGTGTGGTGTCATTGTGTGTCTGCCTTACACGGGATCCTTCCGACTCCTGGCCTTACAGACACAGTATAATGGAATAATAGATGTATAATTAATGTAAATGCATGTATACGCATATTTGTGTATGTGTATATATGTATACCTGTCTGTATATGCATGTATATAGAGCACAGACTGTTCTGAGCTGGAAGGGACACACAAGGATCAGTGAATCTGACTCTTAAATTAATGGTCCATAAGGGATCAAACCCACAACCTTGGCCTCATCAGCACAATGCTCCAAACATATGTTTACATATGTGTTATATCACAGAATCATGGAATATGCAGAGTTGGTAGGGATCCATATAAAAATGGAATAATTCCTGTGAACAGCTTTAACCCTTCTGGCTTTGTGTTTTGCTTCTGTTACGTTTGTTTTGTTTCTTCTTCTCCTGTGTTTGCTGCAGTTGAATTCCCAGCAGTCCTGTTAAACACCTCAACAGGAGTGATTGAATCTGAATTCCACATGTATGTCCAGCCCCAGGAACATCCTATTCTCTCTGAATTCTGTACAGAACTAACTGGCATAACACAGGTACAATTGTGATTTAGCATTGTTTTACAATTGTATAATTGCTGTTTACTATTTTATTTAAAGAGTCCCTTAAAGGGCTAAAAAGAAATAAACCTCAGATGAATTTCAGTGCATTCTAACACATATACATGCTTCTTGTCCTGTTCCATGAAGAATCAAGTTGATGAAGGTGTGCCTCTCAACATTTGCTTATCACAGTTTTTGAAATGGATTCAGAAGATCCAAAAGGAGAAGAAAATTATATTCATTACAGATAGTCAGAGTAATTCTACGTCGGAAGCAAAAGCGTGTGCCTTTGTTACTTGGACAGGTAAATACCATTTTCATTTGCCTTTTCTGCACAGCAGCAACACTTGGTGGCACTGGTGAGATTGTGTCTTCACTTCTAGGCATCACAAGAATCCTGTTATAAAGTATTAAAATTGTGCACTATTGGGATAAGACCTAAAATATGAAATCCATGGAATCCTGACATGTTTGCTGCATCTTTGATTCCTGGGTCTAACACTGTTTAATTTTTCTGCTTTAGTGAACTGTGTCACAATTATTAGTGTGTTTTAATGATCGAATGTCTTCGGTATTAAGTGTCTGAAGTTATTTATTAACCACAGGGGTTCACTTCTCCTGGTGTCCCATTGCAGCACCCCCAGTGATTTCCATGGACAGTGACTTCACAGCCTGTGCTTCCTGTCCAGCAGTGCAGGGTGTTGGTGTTGTGTCCCTTTGGGCAGATTTTTAGGCCACATTTCATGGATTTTAGGGCAGTTGTGTGGTGGTGCAGTGACTGTGGTGGTTTTCCCTGCACAGACTGGGACCTGGGCGTGTGCTTGCACTATGAATGCAGAAGGAAGCAGCTGCGCAAACCCGACATTCTGAATTCCTGGATTGATCTCAAAGCAACCTACAGGGTGAGAAGATTGACAGACTCAAACATTTCTACCCACACTGTCCCCTCAAAGGCTGACAAGGCAATGCTCTATGTCCCAGTGGCCAGAGTAACGTGTTTTCTCTCCATGTTGGTAGTGCTCAATTATCAACTGCCCCAGAACCGTGTGAATTTGGATAAAAATATTAATGCCAGGAAAAGATTGGTGTTTGACAAAAGAATGATAATCCTAGGAGAATTTATGAGTTGTTCTTCCTTTCCTGACATTTTTTGCTCTCCTTGCTTCCCAGCTTTTTTTTGTTTTGTGTGCTCTTATTGCTGCCTTACATTGCTGTGTAGGAAGTTGTCATCACAGTCTGTTTAGAGGTACTTACAGGTACCTTACAGCAGAATTAGGTTTCTGAGGATGAACCGTGGGAATATTCCCCCTTTCTAGTGATCAGATCAGGTACCAGGATAAGCAGTAATACTCACTTTTTTCACTTACAAAAATGTCCACACCTATGCCAAATATATTCATGGCCTTTGCACATTGTTCAGCAGTTTAAACACCTTAAGGTATTTATAGTTGTATTCTTCAGTGCTGCTCTGTTAAGGCTTTCATCAGTGTAAGCCACAGAGTGCAGACAAATGACTCCAGAGCTCAGCCAGAATGGATTTACTTAAGATTGAGAGAAAGGATTCATGGTTCTTTCCATTCTGATTTCTTACAGGGTTAAGTTACTTAAGGTCTTATCCTCACTGTAAAAATGCAGGTTTACTTGCTTAATTGCCTTGTGGGATTTATTATTCATATGGTGATATTTTTGAAATGGCTTTGCTTCACGAGGGAAAGGTTTTGAAATGCTTCATGTTATGCACCTGTATTTCTTTCCTTAGGCCTTCTATAATAGAAAGCCTAAAGGCCTAAATGGAGCTTTGCAGGATTTGGGGATAGCTTTTGAAGGACGGGAACATTCTGGTAAGTAAGATATGATGATCCTCATTTTAATGTATATAAATATAATAAATAGTACTATTTAGCTTTAGTTAGCTAACCTGAGGTAAAACAGCTAGTTCATAGCTAGTCATTACTCTGAATAGTAACTTATTTCTGCCATGTTCTGTCCAACAAACCATCAAAACAAGAAAGACAAAGTGCTTCCAAGATCAGTTTGTTATTTCTAACCTCATACTTAATTTCTGAAATCTCTCCTAGTGCTACTGAGTGCATGTTCACAAGATCAATTTATGAATTGCTAGGATGCAAAAGAGAAGAGGTGGAGGGAGAATAAAGAAACTTGATTTTACCTGATAGCTTTGCATAGCGTGTTCATGTGAGAAAATTTCAGCACAGTATGATGGGTTTTTTTGGATTTGATTAATGAAACAGAGCAAGAACTTTTAAAATGGTGAACAGTTATTCAGCTCTATGGATAATCTTTCAGATGTTTCAGCACAGAGAATTATTTGGAATTTTCTACTTCCACTTCCCTTTCTAGAACCAGGTGAATAAGTGTCATGGTTCTGTGACTCCTTTCCATTTATTTAAGGCTTACCTAGATTACATTTTTCCTCTGTAAGAACTATTCCCAGTAGCAATTTAAAAAGAAGACATTAATCTAACCATACTTTTGAAGGGTTGGATGATTCTCGGAATACTGCTCGTCTTGCTTGGAGGCTGATTTGTGATGGATGTATGCTCAAAGTTACTAAATCTTTGGATCAGGTTAGTGACTACTTTGTATCTTCCTGTCTACTTGTTTTGTAGCCTGGAATACAGATGAAAGATGAGCTCTTCTTGATAAAAAACCCAGCATCTTGACTGGGGTTTGGAAAGAACATCCTTAGGCTGATATGCTTATTAATTTTCTGTTTTGTTCCCAAAACTTCTGGGTATTCACTTTCCAAAATCTGCTTTTGTTTATGGACTCCCTAGGCGCATCAGAAGAGTAATTTAATTTCCAGAACACTGACTGCAAACTTCACTGACAAGACTCCACTGGGAAGTAAGAGCAGACCTGAACCATCTATAGATGGAACTTGTGAAACAAAATCTCTGGCTGAGAACAAACACAAGAGTATTGCTGGAAACAAGCTAAATTCTGATGTACAGCCTGGGGAACAGCAGATCCCTTGCACTGATCCCTCTGCAGATGTCCCTGTTGTACCCAGCAGCAGCTCCAGGACTGAACTCTGTGCTCAATCCCAAAGCTCCTCAGCAGCACCCACTGACAGATCTCCTGTTCCCCTTGGAGTGGCACAGCCGTGTCCCAGCCCTGCACCAGCAGACACCCAGCAGGGGCTGAGAGCTGAGCAGCCTCTGAGAAAAGCCAGTCCCATCCTCCCAGAGCATGGAGCAGGGCTGGTCCTGGTCTCCACCACCATCCCCTCTGTCACCCTCTGCACTGGGGACATCAGCACCAGCTCTGAGTGCTTGTCTCTGCTCACAGACTGGGAAGATGTTGCTTTGATACCAGAATCTCAGTGTGAGCAAAATTCAGACTCTGACCAGCTCCAGGATGACTCTAGTACAGACACTCTAACAGTGTTTGAAGAAAAAATGCTTTCAGAACAATTGGCTATGACAAGTTCAGATAATCAGAGTTTGGAGGAAAGTGTAGCACCCATGGAACCTCTGAAGTCTGTTGTTTACAAAAGTCCTGATACTACAGTCTATAATATAGGGACAGTACAAAGGCAGACTTCAAAATTTTCAGCTTTTAAGTTACCACCTGCAAGGGGAAATGCTGTTTCAACACGATCTGCATTAATTGGAAATTACTCTACCCCTTTGGGGGCTCCTAAAAGAAAACCAACTAGTCCAAAAACATGCCCACCAGCAAAAAAACAGTCTTTTCATATATATCAAGAGAAAACTTCCTCTTCTGATCACTCCTTACCTTTGAGAAGTTCGAATCTGCCCAAAGTATCTCCTGCTGTTCTGAACTCCACAGTCAATTTGGATCAGTCTGTAAGAGCTGTGAGAAATGGGAAAACAACTCCCCCTCTGTGTAACTGTGGTCGAAGAGCCAAAAAACTCTTTGTGTCAAATGCAGGCCCAAATCATGGCAAAGCATTTTTTTGTTGTCCTGTTGGCAGGCAAGGAGATAATAAGAAAGGTTGTGGATACTTCAAATGGGAATATGCACTTCTAAAAGAGAAATCTAATGGTCTCACCTTGAATGCAGGAGCTTTGACCTCACTTGGAACTGTTTCTAGTAATACAGAAAATTCTTCCAACAAAAAGTATTTTTACCTTAGACCCTCTATGAGAACCTGAAAATGGATACAATTTTTTGTCTTGATCCTAAACTAAGTTTCATGCTTAATGTAATCAGGACAGTCAAATGATGTCAGGTATGTATTCTCAGAATGGGACAAAAAGGACAGTTCTTGGTTAACAGAGATAGAAAGGGAAGTTGCTCAAACACAAAAATATCAGCAGATCATAAAATAACTCCTTAGTGAAGTGTGAGAGAACAGATAAAACTGTTAAGTTCTAAAATTAGAGCATGAGCAGCTATTGCTATAAATCTTAAATTTCTGTTCTATCATATATTTTAAATGTATAAGTCCAATCCTTAAAGATTTCAATGACAGATTTTATTTGCAATTTTTTTCTAAATATACTTGTAATGCCTATGTTTACATTTTTGAAACTTTTGAAACATTCTTTAGAAGATATCACACTTCTCAGAAGTGATTCTTGAAGCAATAGCATTGTCTTAAGCTCTTACTGAGTTTTTTATCCATAAAGTAACAATAAATACAGTGACATTTCATTAAATACTTTATTTAGCACACATCACTGTGCCTCCGTTTACCTGTTCAAAGAGCTTTTGGTTCCTCTGCTCCGTGTACACCGTGACATCTTGGGCAGTGGGGCAGGCACAGCCGATGCCCCTCTCCATGCACGGGCACAGCAGGACCGAGAGCTGCTCGCTTCCTCCAGCGAGTGTCCGCCTGCTCCTGGCACCGCTCCGGAATCGTTGGCACAGACCGGACCCTCACTGGAACCGGAGCTCGGGGGAGCGAAAACATCGAGTGCTGCGAGTGACCGATTGACCGAGCTCGGCCGCGGCTGAGCGCAACACAGAGAGCACCAGCAACACCGAGCTCACCAGGAACAAACACAGAGAGCACCGAGAGCACCGGCAACACCGAGAGCACCGGCAACACCGAG